TGTTATGTCTGTTGCTGAATTTTTAATTGTTGTTTTTATTTTTGTACACCCCACCCTTCTTATTGTTAGCCGCCCTGAGTCTTCCGGGAGTAGGGTGGCATACAAGCTAAATAAACTAAACTAAACTAAACTAAAAGAGAAGTATTGATGCAGAAGAGGTTTCCTTCCATTCTAAAATCCAAACCTCATTGATTTGTAGTATTTATCTTTAAGATGAATGATAAAGTAATTTAGGCCTCACTGTTGAGGTCCAGCCCCGATTAGAATGAATGTATGAGGTGTTGCTATTTTAAACCGTTTTCTTTCGTTATGTGTCTTTTTTTTCTCTTTATTTTTATAAGCCGCCCGGTGTCCTTCGGGATTGGGCGGCCTATAAATGTGGTTAATTAAAATTAAATTATGCTAAATGGTTGTATTAAAGCCATCATTCAGAATGCATACACAATAAAACATACCAAATTCTTCTGACGCATTTATTTCTGATATCTGAGTTCCTGGTACAAAACTTTTCTCTTTTCCATTTGGTGGACTGCAGAACATTTCAGCCAACCCTGAAAATAGCATTTAAATCTATTAATGTTCAGTTAGCATGTAATTAAATGCAAGAGTAGATATCACCATAAAGAATATATTTTCTTCACTTGATTGCTCCCTAGATTTGTAATGCAATCGGATTCCAGCATTATTTTTAAATATTAATATTCATAGCATATTTAAAGGTAAAGGACTTAACTCCATTTATCAGGATAAAAATTCCTCCTTCAAGCTCTTTCAGGAGATTGTGGTTACTTTCTATCAAACACCAACTTAAGAGCAAATTCTAGTACAAATTATGACTTAAGTAATTAATTTGCCTTGCAAAATAAAGTAAAACTTGTGATTTCTTCTATAGTAGTATAATAGCAACTGTAAGTAGATTTCTGTCAAAATGACTTACGCCTATCAAATACGATTTGTAACAAATGGTGTGTGCCTATACATGAATGTGTATCTCTCATAAATGTTTAACAGAACAAGGAAGAAAAAGAACCATCTTCCTTTTCCTCTGTTTGAAGTCTAAGATTTATTATGACTGCTGGAGTGGAAGTGCCAGGCTAGTGAATGCTGCCTCAACAATTTCTCCAGTAAAAATGCAGCCTTGCTTAAAATGCCATTTTGGACCACGAACCGCAGCTTTCCCAGTTAAAGAACGGCTTTGTTTAAAGTAGGATCTTTGGACCACGAGCAATTTATATAGTTTTCCATGAATAAAAAAAAAATAATGAAATACAGGTAGTGCTCAATTTATAACAATTGTTAAGGTATTTAAAATGTAATAGCTAGAGCAGTGAAAGATTGGGCGGTAAGAACAATTATAGCCAATTGGTGAAAGAGAGCTGGCCACTGCGTGAGGGAGTCTGAGCTGTGATTGGTTGCTGAGAGCAAAGGGGGAGTTGCCTTGTTTCCCGCCTTTTTCCTCTGTGTGCTCTCCATTGATTTTACCTCATGATCTTCCTGCAGATTTACCTGATGATGCTCCCGTTTTTATTTACTGGAAATATTTTTTTTAAAATTTAACACTACAATTTTGTGTCAGCATCTCTGACTCAGTTTGGACACTGGTTGTGCAATTCCCTGACAATTGAGCCCAAAACTTTGTTCCTAAATGAGACAATTGTTAAGTGAATTTGCCCCATTTTAATAAAGCCCCATTGTACGCCCCTTCTTGCCATAGTTGTTAATCACTGTTAGCAACATAGTTAAGTGAATCTGGTTTCCTAATTGAGTTTGTCACAAAAGGTGATCACATGGTTCCACCTCAAAACCGCGTTCGACTAAAGGGCGCTCGACGAAACCGCGTAGCTGACGTCATCACAGGGCGAC